CTGGAAAGAATGATTGAGGAAGAGGAAATTAAACAAACTGTTTTTTCTATGGATAGGGCTAAGGCACTGGGTCCTGACGGATTTACAATGGCATTTTATCAGGACTGTTGGGACATAGTCAAAGAAGACTTAATTGGAGTATTTAGAGAATTTGAGGATAAAAATTTTGTGAGTCTTGGAATCAATGCCACTTTTATAGCCTTAATTCCCAAAAAGAATGATGCCAGACACCCCAAAGATTTTCAACCAATTAGCCTAGTGACAAGCATCTATAAGATTCTAGCAAAAGTGTTTTCTAGGAGGATCAAAGTAGTTATCCCCTCTCTTGTTATCCAAGCACAAGGAGCCTTTATACAGGATAGACAAATTACAGATCAGATCCTTGTTGCAAATGAGAGTGTAGAAGAGATAAGGAGATCGGGCATGAAAGGATTTATTTGCAAACTGGACTTGGAGAAAGCCTATGACTTAGTGGATTGGAATTTCTTGCTGGAGATGTCGAGAAGACGTGGATTTGGGGATAAATGGTGTAATTGGATAAGAGGATGCTTAAACTCTTGTCGTTATTCAGTGTTGGTGAATGGGGTGGTTAAGGACTTTTTTCTAGCCAATAGAGGCTTAAGACAAGGGGATCAACTCTCCCCTTTCCTCTTTACACTTGTTGCTGATGTCTTTAGTAGGATGATCTCCAAAGCAGATGAGGAGGGCCAAATAAAGGGATGGAGAATTGGGAGCAGAGGCATTCCAGTAACTCACCTTCAGTTTGTTGATGATATTGTTATTTTCTGTGAAGGGATTGAGTTGAGCAAAGTGAACCTTGAGATTTTAATAAGTACTTTTGAGAGGGTCTCCAACTTGAAGGTAAATTTTGATAAAAGTTGTGTGGCTGGAGTGAACTTGGAGAATAGGGAGATTGAATCCATTGCAGAATGCTTAGGTTGCAATATTTCTTCTTGGCCTTTGACATACTTAGGGCTACCCTTAGGAGCCAACCCTAAAGAAARTAGTTTCTGGGCCCCTATTGTGGAGAAATTTGATAAGTGCTTGGCGGCTTAGAAAAAGAATTACATTTCAATAGGGGGTAGGCTGACTTTAATTAAGGCTACACTTGCCAACCTTCCAACCTACTTCCTTTCTGTGTTCAGGATTCCTCCAAGGGAGGCTAAGAAACTGGAGAAGAGAATGAGGGACTTCTATGGGAACCATGAGAGGTGAAAAATGATCTCTTGATCAGATGGGAGATAGCTAACAAACCAAAGGAAGAAGGGGGTTTAGGGATAGGGAATATAGTGCTGAAGAAAGTAGCCCTTCTTGGGAAGTGGCTATGGAGATGGCCCCGAGAGAGAGAGAGAGAGAGAGAGAGATTATGGCAAGAGGTGGTGGCAAGCATTCATGGTTGTGCAGGAAATGGTTGGGATTCCGGGATATCTCGCCGAGCTACCCTTACTACACTTTGGAAGGCTATACATGGTATTCTCCCTCGCTTCCTCAGATTCATCAGGTATGATGCTTGTTCTGGTAATGCTATTCTRTTMTGGGAGGATRTTTRGGTGGGTACTCAACCCCTCAAAGATTGTTTCCCCTTGCTCTGTTCCATTTCCCTTCACAAACATGAGCCAATTGCAAATTTTCTCCCGAGCCCGTTAAACCCCTTATCTTTAAACTGAGACTTTGGATTTCGTAGAGGGTTAAGGGATGGTGAGTCAAATTGTGTTATTGAGCTAATTCATTTACTAGAATCCGTTTGCTTGGACCCCACTTCTTCTGATCAAAGGGTTTGGACTCCTCTTCCAAAAGGTACTTTTACTTGCTCTTCTTTTCTAAAATCCCTCAATTCTAACCCCTTTTCCCAAGGATTCCCTGTCAAAGAAGTCTAGCACGACCTATTCCCCCAAAAATTGTTGTATTCTGCTGAGAAGTCTTCTATGGGAAGATCAATACTTTGGAAAACTTACAGAAAAAGAAACCATCACTTTGCTTTCCCCAAATTGGTGTTCCTTGTGTAAGGCCGAGAATGAGGACTGTGTCCATTTGCTGATCTCCTGTTCCTTTGCTATAGCTATATGGAGGTGGAGTCTTTGTTTATTTGGAGGTAGGTGGTCTTTGCCTTCTGATTTAAGCTTGTTATTCAACCCATCTGTCTTTGTTTGGCACACTAAAAGAGGTAAGGTCATGTGGAAATGTGTCAGGGCAGCCACTCCGTGGACTCTTTGGGAGGAAAGGAATGCAAGAATTTTCTTAGAGAATGAAAGAGGGTTAGATGAAATGAAGGATTGTATCCTAACAAGAGCAATCCATTGGCTGAAAAYTGTGGATATCTTTGATGACTTCTCCTTTGATGATTTGTGGAGAAATTGACTAGTAATAGCTAACACTTCAACAAAGAAGGATAGAATTCTGTTAGAATGGATTCTGCCTTTGGAAAGTGTCATCAAGCTGAACTTTGATGGAAGTAGCCAAGGCAACCCCGGGCCTTCAGGTATAGGGGGTATCCTGAGAAATAAGGACAACAACATAATTTCCCTATCCTCAGGACCGGTGGGAGTGGGGGATTCTACAAGGGCAGAAATCCTTGCTGCAATACAATGAATTCAGATCGCCAACCAGCTTGGGGTGGAACATCTCCTAGTTGAAGGGGACTCTCAGGTGGTAACCAGGTGGCTCCGAAACTTGGATACCTCCATTTGGGGCTACAAAGATCTCATCAAAAAAGTAAAGTGATTAACCAGTAATATGAGAGTTGAGGTAAAATGGGTTAGTAGGTTTGCTAATTTTTTGGCTGATACTTTAGCCAAACAGGGGGTTTCTAGGGAAGATCTTTTTTGTGCTTCTATGTAAGTTGTTATTAATTTGGAAATCTGTACTTAACTAGCCCGAAGAGGTTGCAACTTGTACCTTTCCTTGAGTACTTTGTACTATTGTCTATTGCTGTTTTATAAAATCATTTCAATTATAAAAAAAATATAATCTTTGTACACCGGAACCCCATTTCCATTACTCCAACCCACGACATCTGTCGATTCCTCAGTTGTCTGGTTATTGATAAATATTTTAAACACTCCCTGGTTGAGTAATGGGATCATTGGTTGAATCTCACAGAAGTGGAGCCTAACGAGGTAATCGAATCCAGAATCGACGGTGAATATCCATGACAAGTTATAATTCAAATTTATTTGGGAATTTGGACCCATGGTTCTGGCAGTGCTGTAGACTCCTGCTGGAGCAGTGTATGCATGTTAATGCTAGAGTAATATCAGGGCTGAATGATGTTACACCAAATCCAGCGGCGAATATATAAGCGTCGTCTAACACCCATTCCCTAAACATGCCTGTGTCATCTTGGGGCGAGATGTTACTCCCGCCAACGTTCAATTGGTAAATTGTCTCAAGAGCTGTGCTGTTATCGGTATACTAGAGATATTTCTGGCCAACCAAACGGATTGAGACATCTCCATTGTGAGTGTAGAGATTGAATGGCATCGAACAAATTTCAATTCCGTTTACGAAAGCATATGTATCGTCCGAAGAAGTATTGGGTGATGGAGTGAAAGTTAAAGATAGTATATTCCTTACCGTGGTAATGCATAATTCTTTGTAGATGTAGGCCACAAAAAGAGCATCTGTAGTAAGAGAAGGGTTGAAGTTTTGTAGGAGAGTGTAGTGGTCGGTGGCGAGGCGATGGAGAAGGAAGCTTGGTATCTGTTCAAACCTGAATACGAAGCTGGATAGAAGAAGAGCCAGACAAACTTGGGGCCGGCAGATTTGAGTGGAAAACTATAGGTAAAGCATTGACGAAAGATCTGAGCAGTCATGTAGGAGACTTGAGGGGGGGGGGAAGGGTCTTGGACAGAGGCTGTGGAGGTAGCTGATTTGTCGTATTGGTTTGGGAGCACCAAGTTGGAGCCGACATTGCCAATCCAATTCCGGCCATCATCATCATATGCTACAGAGCCACTGGAGTCATCACCAAAATTGAGGGTGATATGATCAGAGGGGAGGGGATATACAGTGACTAACCGACTACCAATATCCCCAGTTGAAGAAAGGAGAGGGAGGTGAAAACGAAGACAAAAATCGATGGATTTTTGTTGATTGTCTCCATGAAGACATCAAGCGGTGTGAAGAGAACTCTTAGCTCATTGTTGTTGAAGTCTTACAGTGTAGCCATTTCTCTTCACTCTCAAGAATTAGGGTTACTGAATGAGAGAAGGATAATGATCCATCGATGATGGCTCCAAATCTACGGAGAAAATTAATTTGGCTGTCTACGTTCGACAGCAGAGCCTCCTCTATTACATGGCCTAGAGTGAACGAAAGTCAATGCGTGAGAAAAATTTTTTTTGGTAGAAAATCTCAAATTCATTGAAAAACACTAAAGCATAATTACAAAGGGAGGTGGAAAATCCACCCAATTCGCTAGCTAAAGAGGGATTGCATCATTATAGACACCTGATTCAGATGACCCTTTTTTTTGCTAGATTGTGAACTAATAAATTACAAAGAGAAAGTGTCCAAAATATCTTTACAAATGAAACAAACATCTTGAGCCCTGAAGCCAGGGTGGCCTGCACTAAGGATTTGTTGTCGCTTTCGATCACAAAAGGTCCCCTGCATATTTTCTTTGCTAACTTACTTCCTTGAAGATAAGCTATATTTTCAGCTTGAAGAGTGATGTTATTGTAGAAGGACCAAAGCTAATTGCTTTGTAGCAACTAAAATGATTTTTAATTACGATTCTAAAACATGTCTTGCCTTCACAAACAAAACTGCCGTCTATATTAATTTTCAAAACATTTATCTTTGGGGGCTTCCATAAAAAAGCTAGTCTTTTTTCTTTAAGTACTTGCAAAGAACTTTATTATTTTTTCACCAAAATCATCTTCCTCTCCTTCTGCCCTGATAAAGGATAAAAGGGTTCAGTGCAGATTAGGAGTGCCATTTTCAAAAACACATTTATTTTTGCTCTTCCAAATTGCCCAAAGTAATAGAGCCGAATAGTTTAGCAACTCATCCTTAATGTCTTTCATTTGACTGCAAATTACAATCCACTCTTCAAATCAACTTTTAAAATCACTTGATGTAGATTCTGAATTATAGCCAAAAATGGAACCAAACCAAAGTTTTTTGGCATGGCCACATTTGAAAAGAACATGCATAATTGCTTCTGGTTCCTGGGAACAAATTGGGCAGATATTGGAGTGTGATAACTTTCTTTTAGATAAATTGACCTTGACTGCTATTGCATCCCACAAGCATCTCCAAATGAAGTTCTTGATCTTTGGGTATATTTTTAGCTTTCATAACTCCTTTCATGGCGCTCTACTTTGATTGGTGTTTCTGAAAATTGATTGATTGATCTTCAGTTTGGGTCTTGAACCTTTCTCCGTTTGCAAGGAAATAGACTGACTTTACAGTGAATTTTCCAGTCGCACTTCCTTTCCAGATTAGTCTTTCCCAATGACCAGAAGCCAAGGATATATATATATATATTTTAATTTGATTTTCATATTCTTTTGTAAAGTATTCCCTAATGATATTTATATTCCAGCATCTTCTTTCTTGATCGATGAGGTCTTTTATCCAAGTAGGACCATTTCTTCCAGGATCAGACCCATTAACCTGAAGTCTGGGGAATCCTTTAACCAAGGATCTCCCCAAATTTTAACCTTTTCTCCTGAGTTAATTTCCCCAAAAGCCCATTTCTTAAGTATTTCCCTTCCAGCTAAAAGACTTTACCACCCCCAGGACCTTCTTTAGAGAAAGTTGTCATTTAAAAAGTTTTTTCCTTTTAAATATCTTACTTTTATTACTCTGCACCGGAAGTTGTTTTCTTCTGTGTAAAGCCTCTAAGCGAGGGCCTTATTAAAACAGTTTGGGTTTTTAAAATTTTTTTGCTCGATGTCTTTTGTTCACGAGTTGAGTTAACTTTCCATTCATTCCAGGAAAGACAAGGAGTAAAACTGTTCACAGATGAAATCCGGAGCTCACGTGTGCCCTCGAATAACAAATCTACACGTCTACTAAATAGAAAAGGGTGAAAATTAAGGCAGCTTATTAATTCTCGCGTTATTCAATAAAAGCCACTCTCATCAGAGCAGGGAGTTATCAATTTGTAAAGAGTGCACTTTCAGTAGTTCCAAAGGTTTGTCCATCCTCTGCCTTGTTGCAATTTCTTATGCATTCTCAAAAATTCAAATGTGAATTCTCGTTTTCAATACGTTTCCTCTCATGTTGCTATTCTTATCGTATTTTTTATATCTCCAGGTTCTCTCTTTCTTCTTTTTCTCTCTCCAAAGCATAAGCATTTTCAGCTTTCCATTTTTTGCATCGGGTAAAAGACCTAGAAAAATCCTAAGGCTGTGTTTGGAAAAGATGCAAATGGTGTAAATCTCAGTTCAGGTAAATTTATATTCTGGTTCACTTTTGTCTGTGTTTGGCAACATTACATTTTTGCATTAATAAATGGCATACCAATGCATATATATATACATATAATGATTTCAGGCCAAACCTCCTTATAGTCAGACATGTGGCTCATTTATATTCAGACACCTGTTATTTCAAAGGTTTAAACAAAATGAACATGTGTCAAATTCTAATTAGTGGTAGTTCAAGAAAAGAGCCCACTAACATAGAGAGTGGAGCCTACCACCATGTAGAGTTGTGAGAAGTGGGAAGCTCCCACTTTCAATCCTTTCCTAAAAAAAAGGAAGTTATGTTATTAATTAAAGTTAACTATTAAACTAATTAATTAATTCCAGCTATTAACTACTTCTAATTAATTAATTACAACTATTAATTACTACTATTAATTATTGTTAATTACTAATTAATTACTGTTAACTACCTCTAATTAATTAATTCCAACTATTATTTCTTATAATAATTACTGATAATTTATTACTCCCAATATTGCTCATTATTGTCGAAATGATAATTAATAAATATTTTCATAATGGTAATTAATAATTCAGAAATAATCATTTTATATTTATATTAACTCATATTAATTATTTTGAAAAAAAATAATTCTAATTATTTATATTATAATTATTATCAGAAATTATAATTCATACATTTATATGAAATAATTAATTATATTATTATAAGTAATTATAATTAATAATATTATATTAGTTAAAACAATTATATTATTATTATTATTATTACAAGTAATTATAATTAATACTATTATTCTCTAATAAATACTTCATTTAGTGAAAGTTAAATTATAAAACTTTCTATTATTCAATATTGTTAAACTTAAAGAATTATAAAAACAAATATTATTTTATGAATTAACTAAAAATTGTATTTATAATAAATTAATTACTTAAAAAATAAAATAATAATAATAGTAGTAATAATAATAATACTTTAATATCACTGATTTCAAAATCAATACACACATAATAAGAATATATTATTAGTTAATAATAATAATATTATTATTATCGATTTCATAATTATTAATATATTATTAATCTATTAATAATACTAATTAATATTAAAAAAATGTTAATAGCTAAATTTAATTACTTAAAATTATTTGCTGAAATTACACATTTTAATTGAGATAGATAATTAATTAATAATTTTAATTTCTTATAGTTATTATTTATTGAATAATTTTAAATACTCTTTGATTAACGACCTTATTTTTGAATAATTGGTTTTTTATGTTCAATAATTTTTTTTTTGCAAAAATCCATATAATTTTTTATTTGCAATTTTTCTCTTATTCAGTTTTTCAAAAGATAAAAAAAAAAATTAATGATGTTTACCTATTTTTACCAAATTATGTATTTATCAAGTTGTTGTCATTGATCATGACGATGATGATGAGTCAACTTTTTGAAAGAGACGAGTACTAATAATAATTAATGACTTATAATTAATTAATTTCAGCTATTAATTAATAATAATAAATCACTGATAATAATTTCTTATAATAATTACCGCTAATACTTAATTACTGATATTAAATAATTACTGATAATATTTCTCATTATTAATTCAGAATGATAATTAATAATGATTTTCATAATGGTAATTAATAATTCAAAAATAATCATTTTATATTTATATTAACTCATATTAAATATTTTGAAAATAAATATTTAATGTTAATTATTTATATTAGAATTATTATTAGAAATTATAATTCATACATTTATATGAAATAGTTAATTATATTATTATTATTAGTAATTATAATTAATACTTATATTAATTAATATAATTATATATTTATATTATTATTATCAATAATTATTATTAATTATTACTAATAATAATGATTTCTGATAAAATTTAATTACTGATTATAATCACTTACTGATAATTAATTCCTTAATTATAACAATGATAATTATTACTTCGGAATGTTAAATAATTAATGACAATTAATAAGTATTTTAATAATATAAATTATTAATCGGGATACAATCATTTTATATTTATATTAATTCATATTAATTATTTTTTAAATAATATAATTAGTGCTATTTATTTACATTATTATTATAAGTAATTATAATTAATACTATTATATTCTCCGATAAATATTTCATTTGGTTAAAGTTAAATTATAAACTTTCAATTATCCATTATTGTTAAACTAAAAGAAATATAAAAGCAATTATTATTTTAGGAATTAACTAAAAATCATAATTATAACAAATTAATTATTTTATAATAGTAATAATAATAATAATAATAATAATAATAATAATAATAATAATAATAATAATAATTTAATATTATTGATTTCAAAATCAATACACACATAATAAGAATATATTATTAGTAAATAATAGTAATAATAATATACTTATTATTATTACTGATTTCATAATTATTAATATATTATTAATCTATATTACTCAATACAAACATGGAATAAAAAATATTCACATTGCTACTAAATGAATGAGCTAAAAATTTATGAGTATTCTAATTGACTTGAATTTGACACATCAACATGCCCAAAATTATAATTTCAACCTACATTTCCTATTTCTATCTCCCAATTCTCATTATTCAAACAAAGCATTATGTTATGTACATGTTTCCCTACCTTTTTCCTAAAGATAAATTATACTCAATCTACATGCACTGTGGAGAGCTTAGACTTAAAATCTATAACCATGATCAAACAAAAGAAGTGTTGCCACCTAACTTGGAGGTGACTTCCATACTTAGGATGGTCCCATTATTCTCCTCTCTTTCATGTTTCCTCTGTTGGATGGGCTTTGGAGTTCTGATTAAATTATCAGTTGATTGTAGTCATACATGATGATTTGATTGTAGTCATATATTTTTCATCTCTTACTTCAGAGGATGGATGCATTTGTAAATATTATTTAGCATGGATTGTTTTTCTTAGCAATTCTATAAATGATTTTCTTCATTCATTGCCTCTTTGAATGGATATTATTTAAATGCTTTTTATCCATTCATATGTCCCTAAATATTAAGCAGTATTGGTGACATTATTGTAAACATCTATCTAATTTTACTATTTTATAAATAGATTAATGATTTCAAAGTTATTGATAATTTTTTGGGGGTGGGTTGCTCAACAGGACATTGATTTTTTATTGTTAAATAGTAAATTTAAAATTCAATGATACTATAGTTGCCCCTTACTTAGTATGGGGACATTGTCTAGATAAAACATGGTAAGTTTCTTAAATCAAATAAATAGACCACCCTAAATGTCTATTATAAATAATTAAAAAATGAAATAATTCAAATTAAAGCAAATAATTACTTGCTAAAAATTATTGAATTAAGTAAATAATAATAACAATCAATTATTTATAGAAATAATTAATAATAATAATCAAGTACTTAATTAAGTAAATAATAAAAAATGAAATAACAATCATCAATTATCATTAGTGTTTATTCAAAGCATGCCCCATAATAATTACCGAATATAGTAATTAAACCTTAAATAATAATCAATATTTATTAACAGCCATTAAAATTGTTAAGCCAAATCATTAATGTTTATTCTTAAATTCAAAATATGAATTAAAAATTCTATTATATAATAATTATAGTCGGTTGGAAAAAATATTTTAAGTAAATATTTAAATATTACAAATTTAGTTAATATTATTACTATATAACAAAAAATTTAAATTAAATACTAAAATAAATTAATAATAAATAATAATAATAATAATGGTTACATTAAAGTAATAAATGGTTCAAGTTGAATTTAGTGACCCGTATAACTTTATGGGTTTGACATATAAGGGTCAATTTATGTGGACCCTATGAGTGTCTTAAAATATGGCAGTTTATAAACAATAATAAAAAATGGTAATATGAATCATATATATATATATAAAACTTCCACGTACTTAGTACAGGGTCATTCACTAGTTTATATTGATAATGAAATGTAAAAATACAATAATAAAAAAGAAGTAAATTTGCATTCAAGTGAGATTTTGATAAAAAAAATCATATGCTTTATTGGAATTTGTGTTTGCATCCATTACAGCTAAAAGTCTATTTGATAAGAAGGTAAATTTGTCAATGTAAAACTAACCCAACTTTGTAATTTATATGAACCCAATTTACATTCTACATATTTGCATTCACACTTATTTGCATCATTTCCAAACGCAATCTAATCTATTGTTTGCTTCTTCTATAGTTAAACTGATGTCCAAAGGGCACCTAGATTTCTCGTTGCTAATGTCAAAAGATCCCTTGAACGAAAGCTGAGGTTATTACAAGAACTGGGTCTTACTATTGTACGAAGAGGAATGCATGTCTAATGTTCAGGAGAAATCCGGGGTTATTCAGGACCTCTGAGGAGAGTTAAAGTTGGGACTTGAGTTCTACTTGTACTATTGGTATAGAGAAGAGATTGATTATACGATACTTAGTATTCCCAAGTTGAAGAACCCTAGTTTTATTAATGCGATACCGTTACCTGAGGATGAATGCAACTAACACTTGCATCAATATTTTGGGGAAAAGTTATTGATAGCTAAGATGATAGTTCCAATTCTCTCATATGAATGAGAATCAATATTTTGGGGAATAATAAAAACATTTTAATTATTACTGATAAATATATTATGAAGTATTCTTATTACTATATAAATATTAATACTGAACATTATTATTTATTTAAATTAAAATGATATTATTTATAATTTTATAATAATAATAATTATTTAATAGTAATATATTTAGTATTAAATAAAAAGTATTATTACTATTATTATTAAATAAATAATAATAATAATAATAATTATTATTATTATTATTATTATTGTTGTTGTTGTTGTTAAATATTAATAATAATAAGGGCATTAATGTCATTTTATCACATCTGAAATGCATCTGATTTTGGTAAGACATGAAACTAGGTCTTACCAATTTAGATTTGAATTTGTGTTTTAAATCCTCTAGTCAAACCTAAACCCAAATGCCACTAGCATTTGTAAAAGCAAAATAACTTCATACATGTGAAAAGTGTTATCAAACGCCACTTAACACTTTTCTTGAATAAACCCTTAAAAATTAACAAGCTCTCGTTAGCTTCTCTTTAATTTTCACCTTTCTTCTGCCTAATAGGTTCTTAATAGATGTCGAGTACTAGTATTAAAGGGTACACGCTTCTCGGGGACCAAAGGGTTCGTTGGATATAAACTTGTTCATGGGTTGGGTAGTTCAATGGCCCGGCCTGGCCCGACCTAAAATATTGGCCTGACCTTTTTATGGATTGGGCTCCGACTTTCTGAAAAAAACTCGACTTGATAATGTATTATATAATAAAAAGCATATATATAATATAATATATTATTTATTTATTTTTTTCTATTTTTCAAATAATAATGAGATCTTTCATTATTATTTTAGGCTCTAAAATCTTTTAATATAAATAAAATAATTTTTAATTAAATTAAAAAGAAAAAATATTTTTTTTTCCAAATTTATGATCGGGCCGGTCTCAAACTTTATATGAGGGCCGGTCTCAAGCTAAATACCTCGGACGGACTGATGATGGCCATGCTGGACTCGAACTCGGGCAAAAACACCGAACTCAACCCGTGAGCAAAGTCTAATTGAATGCGACCTCGAAGTCCTCACTCCTCGAAAAGGAAAAAGCTTCCTTCTTTACGAAAAAAGGGTTTCTTGTTTGTTTTTTATTTTTTTTTTTAATTTTTCATGAGGTGGTTTTAGGTTTTGCTCTTTCTGAAACTTTTTTGTCATTTAATTTTAGAAGTTTTAGAAAGGAAAAAGCTTTGCTTCTTTCTGAAAATTTTTTTATCTCGAGAGAGGGCCCACCCCATTACGATTAGGTTTTAGGTCATTTTCGATCATCTCATTTGTGGATGATTCTTAAACATGTACCACGAGTGCGGCACAAACAGACAAAACGGTGCATTGAAAGGCTGAAAAATGGCCCAGTAAACCCACCTACCAAGCTTATTGAAAATCTATAAAAAGAATTTCATTGAAGATCCTTCCCGACCTAGTACTTAGTTTAATGCGTTCTCTCTCTTCAGCTTCAGCCCTCTCCTTTTCTAACTTCACTGTTCCGAGGTACCCCATTCTTAAGCTCTCCTGATTCTTCCTCAATTTATTGATTTCTGGTCTTAATTTTATTCTAAAGTATGAATTACTGTATGTATTACTGCTGCCACTTGAAAATACTGATGCTTTTCTTTATCCAATTTGATTGCAAAATTGTTCTTGCTGACCCCTTTTGCTGAAAACATGGATTGAATTAGTGATATTTGGTTTGACGAAACATGACTTCGAAAAAGTTGTAGATTTGAGGGAATTGATATATGAAAATTGAAATCCAAATATAGTGTCAACTCTTGATTTCTGACTTGATTCTCTGTTTGGTGCAAATTGGTCTACAGGACACAGATATAGCTTTAGTGTTTTGTTTGGGCTATGTTATATAACACCAAATTAAGAATTTAATTACTCTGACTGGTTTGATTCCTTGCCTTGCAAGGTTTCGTATTGTAGAAGTATTGAAGTTTATGATAATATTCTGTAAAACTTGCAGATACACAAGATTCATGGCTCAATTAGAAGATAACAACGCCGGGAAGAAACTCATTCAAATTGATGTCAGTTCAGACACTGTCTGCCCATGGTGTTTTGTTGGCAAAAGAAATCTGGATAAAGCTATAACTTCATCAAAGGATAAATTTGATTTTGAGGTTCACTTCCTTGTTATTATTTTTCTTTTTCTTTTTTTCCTGAATTGTTTATTTTTTCACCACATGTTAGATTTACTGCTAGTTCAAATTTTCAGATTAGATGGCATCCATTTTTCCTTAATCCTTCTGCCCCAAAAGAAGGAGTTAACAAGGCAGAATTTTACAGAAGCAAGTTTGGATCTCGGGCTGAACAAATTAAAGCTCGGATGACGGAGGTTTTTCTCATTTATCAAATCACTTAATATAGAGTGTTTGTTTCCTTTGTTTTGTTTAGTTAGTAAAAGCATTTTGAAAGCTTTAATTCTTGCAGGTATTTCGGGATCATGGCCTTGATTATGACATGTCTGGGCTTACGTAAGCATGAAATGTGGCTTAATCGTAGATACCAGTATGTAGGAGAAAGATGACCTTTACCAGAGTTTCAACTAACCATGATTCAATAATTCAGGGGGAATACTTTGGACAGTCACAGGCTCATAGCATTTGCCAGACACCAGGGTCCTGATAAGCAGCGTGCTCTTGTGGAGGAATTGGGTTTGGGCTACTTCACACAGGGAAAGTATATAGGAGATCGGTATGTGTGTATTGTTCTGTTGGTATAAACTTGGTGTACTTCTATCTTTTTTTTTTTTCTGATAAATAGTGTTCGTACTTCTATCTTTTTGTTGGTATAAACTTGGTGTACTTCTATCTTTTTTTTGATAAACAGTGTTTGTACTTCTATCTTTTTGTTGGTATAAACTTTGGTGTACTTCTATCTATGAACGGATGTTTGCCTTATAATGTGAACTACATATATACAATTATAGATATCCCAACAGCATTAGCTACCTATATTAATGTTTATAGTTGGGTTTTGAAGGGTAATCATATCTAACATGTAACATCTAAGAAGCTATTTGATAATGGCTGAAGTGTCTGAAATTAATGACTTGTTACTTTAATTTTTAGTGAATAAGTTATTAAATAGGAGGCAAGTTCCTTAATGGATGAAACACCTTGACATACCATTAAGCCATTATTGAGCAATCCTCCTACTTAATGACTTACTCACTAAAAGACAAAACAATAAAATGTTAAATTCAGCTAATTCAGCTGTTATCAAATGGCCCCTAGTGCCTGTGATTCAAATGATTATGATTTACAAGAAACCCTGTTAGAATGTTTCATTGCTTAAGTTTTACTTTCACTTGCTCAGGACGGTTATGAGACAAAGTTAGGGGAAAAAAATCTTCCATACTTTTTTTCTTTAAAAAAATAATGGTTTTGAATTATTGGTTCTTCAAAGATTAGCTACATTTGCCATCTTATGCTTGAATTGGAATTTATTTACTATAATTCACTAGTAACGAGTCAGGAAGGGTGGTTATTTGTTCCCTTCTCCTAAACTAACTCTATGCAACTAAGGTTGTTACAGGGTTGGGGATCCATTTCTCCTCCTTGGGATCATAAAAAGGTTATCATGTAATTTGTGGGTGACTTTGATCTTTTCTGTTTGGAGCTGTGTTGATATGATAAATAGAAAAGAACCTTCATCTCTGAACAACCTTGTGCTCTATAAGCAATTAGCTTCTTGTAGTTTTGATAATGAATACCCCAGAAGGATCATCAGTGCTTGAGTGCTTCTGCTTAATGTGAAAACATTCAGGCATCATTTTATTTATGGTTGATTATGATCTTTTCTGATTCTGAGCTATGATAAATAGTAAAAACCTTCATCTCTGAACAATTGTGTGCCCTATAAACCACTCGTTCTTATAATTTTGATGATGAGTACTCCAGAAGGGTCCTTGGTGCTTCTGCTTATATGTGAGAACATCCAGGTTAAAGGGGAATGCTTAATCATTCCATAAAATGGTCAATATATAAGATTGCCAAGTTTCTTTTAAGAGCCAATAACAGACAAGAAAAATACATGGGTAGCCTGAGGAATAGGCTTAGGCCAGAATAGAACATATCTCAGTCCTAATTTGAAACTCATAGAAGAGAGGATGCTCATGCTTTCAAATCGTTGTAATGGGGTAGACTTGGCAAGGACTATCCAGTCTAGGATTTTGAACAAGCTTTATGACTTTCAAATATCCCCATAAATGATCATTGAATCTACCCTCATTATGCTAGAAAGCAATTACCTGGAATTAGTGCCAAAACAGTCTACATCCTGATAGATCACGATAGGTCTAGATGTTGAACTATCTAGCTTGATTGCATTTGCAGCTAATTCAGCTTGATCCTTTCATGATGCTTCATCAAAACTTCTGTGGTGAATTGGTAATGACATTACATTGACCAAAAGGAGACACCATATTGCTTAACTGCTTTCCTGGCTGAAACAGTGAAGCCATACCATAGTTTCTTCATTATAGAAATGATTAGCAGAGGATATGATATCAGTACCACTTGCAGCATTTCCCTCAAATATAGCAGCATTTCTAGCTTTTCACTTGATGACAGCACCACCAGGGAAAAGATTAATTTCCTCTATCGGTTTCATATGGGGCTCATCCAATATTTACTTGATCTCCTTAACAAGCATCTTGTTATCTTGAACAGCGTATCTTAGGTGAGTAGCTAACAAATAAGTCCTGCTGCATCATCTTGCCACAGAATCCTGAAAATATGGTTAGGTCCAATCAGTTAAATTCTTGACTTGAGAGATCACCTTGCAAGTGATTGGTATCAGCACCTCTTTCTGTGTGCAACATGTACAAAAAGATCAGAAACATGGATTCCTAGAACTGAGAGGTGTTAATATTTGAATGCTGTTATTTTATGAAATATTTCTATTTTAATATTTGAAATTTGAATGCAGGGAATTCCTTGTAGAATGTGCTAGAAAGGCTGGAGTAGAGGGAGCAGCAGAGTTCCTTGAAGATCCAAACAATGGACTCAAAGAGGTCTTTATTTCTTTTTCTTTGTTCCTTTAAGATGTCCTTTTTTCCCCTTACCTTCAAGTTCTATGTTCTCTACGTATTTCAATTGAACTTGCCATTAATAATTTCCTGAAGGTTTACGAAGAGCTGGAGCAGTATTCTGCAAACATTACTGGCGTCCCATACTTTGTGGTGAGTACTGTTTTTTTGTCATAACACTTCACACCTGGGGACACTATTTTCCTTTATTGAGTGGAAGATTTGTTTGACAGATAAATGGGAAACACAAGCTGGATGGAGCCCAATCGCCTGAGGTCTTCCTGAAAGCTTTTCAAGTAGCTGCTGACAATAGCTAGCTTATGGTTTCTATTCTTTTAATTCTGTATTAGAGAAGAAACTTGCTTGCCTATTCCGAAGACCTATTCTGAAGATAAAATGGCTTGTTGGTGTACCATTCTACTTACCTACATTGTCAAAAACTTTGAACCTTATCAGATGTGTTGGTACTAAATTCATGGTATATAGGGGATTGGCTTTGCTAGCCGGAATAAATGTACGACTGACCCATAAATGGATTATCCTGATAAATTAATTTGTTTTCATCCAAATGTATCATGCATGCAGCAAACCAACCCAACAAAGCCTTATCCCAACTAGTCTATACATGGTTGGCTATAGAAATCATAATCATATTTTGACATATTCCACTCTTTCAAGGGTCGTATCCTCTTCAAAATATATTATACTATTTTATAACTCATTAGGCATGATCATTGGGGTCAGTCTGATCAGATAGAACTCTTTCTAGTGCTCTATTGGAGTCATGGTTTCAGAAAGATCAACCCTAAGGGGGCGTTCTACAAAGTGAATCGTTTTTCTTGTTGTTGATTCCAAAAACAAATCAAAACCATCGAAAACAAAAACAAATTCTTAACTGTGTTTGTTTTTCTATTTTCAAAGCTGAAACCAAAATCATGTTCCCGAATCTGTGTTTCAAAAACATGTTTTCATCTGATTATTCAACTTCATGTTTCATAAATCATCTAATTTTTATACTAAAAATTTTATTTTTGTTTTAAAAACTAATATTTTGTTGATTTTAAAAGCATGTATTAATTTTTAAAATAAAATCAACTTGTTTTTCTTTTTGAAAACAAAAACAGATTTCAAAAGCTTTTCGTTTATGCGGATGTGTCATGCACACCACATCACCAATTAAATGGAATCGGCAAAGATATCACATTTAACAGTCTTGTTTCTTTTTTTTTTTTGCAATGATTAGTTTTGGGATTCACCCTGGTGACATGGCACATTAAAGTTTGAAAAATCTGATTACTTTTCTGAGATGTCATATAATTGTCATTATAAATATATTATATGGTAAATCTTTTAAACTATTTGTTTGCAAAATTGACTAACTCTATCCTTACTGTTTATATATTGTCTTAAAGTACCCTTAAGTTTTTTGACAGTTGACGTGCCGGTAAACACTAACAGAGAAAATGAAATATCGAATTTGTCCTTCATTATTCATCAAATTTTCAAAGTAAAACCCATTTAATGAAAAACCCTTGGTTTCCAATTTTTTCCAAAAGCAAATATGGCAACGACAGATCAAAAGAGAGAGAGACTTGCAACAACGTGGACGGGATGAGAGAGAGATAGACAGAGGTAAGAGAGAAGAGGGGCACAGAGGTTGTCGAGCTCAAAAATGAGAGAGCCTTGCCGACCACCCTCTAAGCTGTAATGCTGCGGTTCTATATCTGGTGCCTAGTTGGAAATGCTGCTGCCAACTTTTCATTACTACTTGGTAACAAAATTGACTTTTCCATTTCTTGGGCTAGGATGCGAGCATGAATGAGTTGTTCTGTTGATTGATGAAAAGTTAAAAATCTCTTTCGAGAAGTTGCCAAGAAAGGATACTTTAGGAATTTTAAAAAATATATCAATCACGTGACATCACATGTGAATGGAGTGTGACGGAAAGTTAACGATAAGGAAGGTTTTAGACAATTGTTAGAAAACTTAAGAGATTTACCCTATATTATAATATTAAGTTAAATCACTTTAAATGCCCAATCAGCCTACATCCCGATTTTTTTTTGTGTTTTTTCAATAAAACAGGTGAAATGAATCACTTGTGAACCGGGCCCACTTGTGAAACGCTCTAGTGCCAAACACCATGCAAGGTTCAAAATATCGCAACGTATTGGCCGATATGTATCGCTCCGACAAGAACCCGATACACAGATCATAGATCCTTTGTTCTGTTTCTTTTCATACGTTTCGGCTGATACAGGCCGATACCGGGCTGTTTCGGATCTGTATCGGGCCTGAAACAATTTGATACAGTTCGATACATTTGATTTCGGTTTATCATTAATTTCGTTAATATTTAATACCAAATCTCTCATTAATGTCGTTAGTCTTGTATTAAGTCTAATTTCTCTTTCATTAATTAGTCAATTATTCTAAAGCAATTTTAAATTTGTTCACCAATGAGCCACACATGTTTGCTATGATCATATGTATTTTTAATTTTAAGTAAATTTTCACTTTTCTTAATGTGTGACAAGTGTTTATTAATAAATGCTAGAATTAATTACTAAAATTTATATACTAATAAATATTAAAATTAATTATATTGGTTTTTTTTTTTGAAAATTGACATTCACATTTTAGTTATTTTATTTTATTTTTACATTTTAGTTACTTTATATAAACCATTAAATTATGATTTTTTACATTTAAATGACTTATTGCCAATCATATAAAATTTGTAAATATTGTTAGTGATATATTTTTTAGGATTAATTTGAATTTTCTACTATATTTATATGTATCTTGATTTTTCGTCCATACGTATCTAAAACGTATCTCGATATATCTCTTAAAATTGTCTTTCCGGTACACCTTATGTTTTCAATACTTTGAACCTTGACACCATGTAAGAAATACAATTATCTTGGCTATCTCCACCTCCAATTTTCATAAGTGTCTTATTAATTATGGTAGTGTTTAGAGCCAATGCCGTTTCCTGATAGTTGTTTTTTGAGAAAGCGGTGCTGCATTGGCATGCCATTTTTATAAAAAACATTTTTTATTATTTGGTGCCATTGCTATTGCTGCTACATAGGCAATTTTCAATGCCATGTCAGCATACTATTGCTAGCAATGGTAAAAAACGAGAAAACACAAAAAAAGGGGTTTTCTCATGCCACACCTTTCCTGATTTCTGAGGTGTGGTCTGAGAAAACGTTTTTCAGAAAAATGGATAACTAAACGTTTTCGACTATGATACTGGAAAAACTCCTACTCAATCAACCACCGATGGGACACAGATAAAAAACCCGGGGGTAGAGATACCTACCCACACTTAGGAGTGGATTGACTAGAGAGTTGTTCAAATACACAAAGAACGCATATTCACAAAATTGACGTTGAGCAAATAAGTCAGAAAATAGAGCTAATTTTTACCTGAGCATGAGATGGTTGGTAGGGGTGTCAATGGTATCCCAAAAATCGAAACCGATTTCGAATACGAGATTTGATGTAATCAAATCGAATTCGGATGATCCGAATAATATAAATGGTCGAATTTGAATATTCATTTTCTACCGATTAGTCAATCAAATCGAATTCGAATGCAAGTTCATTCGATTCGATAAATATTCAAATTCGATTATATTATAAATAAATATAGTATTATATAATATATTTTTACCATATCCGCTTTTAATGATTTCTGACATATCTCTTACAAAATTTAGAAAACTTGATTATAAATATAGTATTATATAATATAATTTTATCATATCCGCTTTTATTGCATTCTAACTCTTACAAAATACAAAAAATTGGATTACCATCTGAGTGAGTGACAAGATCACTCAGTTTTGCTTTTCTTTTACCAATAGCGGTGAGGCATGAAGGTGCTCGTTCATTCCCCTCCATCTCTGCAACTCTGTCTCTGCTATACTTTTATCATCTCCCCCATCTCTGCGACTCCATCTCATTTGCCCCGGTTCTCCGTCATTCCCCTCCGTCTCCCCATGGTATGAAGGTGAAAGTTCACATGACGCATCCAGAGTCCGGACTTTAGTAGCTGGAAGCATTATTGTAGAAAAATTAGTCGAATTTTGATTTTCAAGTTTTTTGTTGCATCTTCCCAAGGTGGCAGTTCACATCAGCAGATTTCTTCTGTTCAGACGCTTGGCCAGCTTTAAACCCATTAGAGTAGAAGCACCAGCTTCAGAGACCAAAGCCGATCTAGGTTGAGAGCCAGCAACGACCCCTCTCTCCACTAATCGTCTCCTTTCCATGCATCACCCTCTATGGTGTATAAATACAACCCATATATGTAAAAATAAAAACAAATATACTTGGGTTTTATTTCATCATTCAACACTAAGAAGAATTAATTTTCCTAGTTCATTTTGTGCCTTCTCATTTCATGGCTACTACCAAGTAACTGCTAATAATGACCATTTCCGATTCACTGAAGCCTTTACTACGACAACTTCCTAGGGAGACATGGTGGGATGAGTTCGATCGATCTCTACCAATGGAAAGGCTTCTGGTACGTTCCCCGACACCTGGAAGCTGCGCCGCAGTGGCCGCTCGGTCGCACTTCGGAGCAGGAGATGACGATGTGATCGTAGCTTCTATGAAAACAGGCACCACCTGGCTCGAAGCCCTTGTGACGTGCATCTGCATCATGATGACTCACCAATGCTGCCATGATCAAATTAAGCAGCAGTGGTAATACGGTAATACCACCCTTGCTGCTGTCGATCACGATAATGTCGTTAATTAAGGATGTTGATGACCCTCTGATTACAAGGTATCCTAGAGCCTACATACAAACCTTAGAAATCCATGTTTACAATGAAACCCCCAACTCCTTGTCTTTCTGCTACACCATCTCCTAGACTCTTTCATACCCACATGCCTTACAGAGTTCTGCCTGAGTCCATCAAGAACTCCCAGTGCAAGATAGCATATATCACGAGGAACCCCAAAGACACACTTATTGTGTCCCTGTGGCACTTCAAGAACAAAGTCAGGACACATGAACACGGGCCATTTCCATTTTCCAATGACTGAAGCATTTGAGAGCTTCTTCAATGGAGTCCATGCTTTTGGTCCATTCTTTGATCATGTTTTAGAATATTGGAAGGAGAGCATGGAGAGACCTTACAAGATACTCTTTTTGAAGTATGAATAGCTTAAAAGAGACCCAAGGGGACAAGTGAAGAGGTTAGTTTCATTTCTTGGGAAACCTTTTGCTAAGGAGGAGGAAGTTGATAAATTGTTGTGGATGTGTAGCTTATTAGACAGGCTTAAAAACATGGAGATGAGCAAAAATGGTGAAGACCCTTGGCTTTGAGTCCCCAACAGTTGTTTCTTCAGGCTTGGTGAAATAGGAGATTGGAAGAATCACTTCACCCCAGAGATGGGAATAGAGACTTGATCAAATTACTCGCATTAATTAAATTAGAGGGATCTGGCCTTTGTCTCTAAATATATATATATTGGGGGGAGGGGGGGGGTATTATCTATGTACTGAATATTGTTTTCGGGGTCTTCACTTTTTCTTCAT